AATTTATACAATATACGATTTATTTTAGAATTATTAAAAAATGATTTATAAAAAACTATTTTATTTTTATGTACAATTTATTTGCATTGTAAAGTTGGAAGTAAAATTGTAATAATATTTGTTTATGTAAAAAGTAATTAAATTAATATTTTGTTTAACATATGGTTAAATTTATATATTTTAGTAGTTGTAATATTGTAGTAAACAATATGTACAGCAATTAAGAATGTAAAAAATTATATTTGTGATTAATTACTGTACAATTATCTGGTTTAATAATTTAATTATTTAATATCAAAAATTATCCTCTTTAAAATGTGACTAATCATTTTTTAATAAATTAGGATCGCTATAAAAAATTTTTGTGTGCCACCTGGTGGTAATAAAATTTTTTATTTAATATAATCTCATACCAATTTTTCAACAACTTTGCTATTGTGGACCGCAAGAACTGATCACGTTTTCGGGTAATACGGGACCGCAGCTTTTTCTATACTAATCAAACATGTTTTATTTGTTTATGGGTCCCCTGGTGGTCGGATAATTTTTTACTTATTGGAACCCTAGACCAACTTTTTGTCCTCTACAACTTTTCTATTGAGGACCGCAAGATCTGACCGCCCGTTTTCGGGTAGAACGGGACCGCAGCTTTTTCTATACAAAAAATACATGTTTTAATTTTTTTTGTGCGCCCCCTGGTGGTCGGATAATTTTTTACTTATCGGAACCCTAGACCAACTTTTAATTATCTACAACTTTTCTATTAAGGACCGCAAGATCTGACCACCCGTTTTCGTGTAAATCCGGACCGCAGCATTTCCCATAGCGGACCGCAGTTAAGGCATTCCCGTAATTGATAAATGTTATAAATAATTTTTATTAACTTTTTTTTATAAAATTAAGTTTTAATTTTTATAAATTAATTTTTGAACATTTAATTAATTATATAGAAATTATTTAGTTTAATTTAATTAATTTATATAAATATTTAATTACAAAAATGTTATCATATCCAACACTCTATTAAATTTTTCTATTGACAATAAGTAATTTATCTCAACAAACAAACAAAAAATAAAAAAAAATAATGAGTTTTTACAATAAAATTTTTTATATTAACTCAATTGAATGGCTATTGTATATTTGATGCAACTTTCATTAAGCAAACAAGATATAAATTATATATATATATATTATTGATTATTAAGATATTATAATTGTTTATGTTTAAATTTTATAGATTATATATTAACATTTAAAACATTTTTTTCAAATATTATAATATCATAGATTGTTTTCATAATAAAAGTGAATGTAATTATAGCGAGGATTGTTGTAACGGGAAATGTATAGAAATGTTGGAATCATTGTTTAAATGTGAAGATGAATAACCATAATAATTATATACAGTATATATATATATATATATATATATATATATATATATATATTTTAATTAATTATTTTATGAGTTAAAAAAAATGTTTAATTAAAAATTAATTATTGCTTTTTATTATTGTTTTATATACTATTTAATTAATAGTTTTATTTTTTTATATAATTTATTGAATTTTTATTTAAGTAAAATTATTTATATTTTGTTTAAAAAACTTAAACTTAATTATTAATGTATTCTTTGACGATTTGTATATATATATATATATATATATACTGTATATATATTAAATTAATTAACTTTTATCTGTATTATTTTATTTTGTAAATTTTTTTATATATAACAATAATATATATACTGTATATAATCTTTATAATAATAATAATATAATATCATTTTTAATATTATTTATAATTATTCATCATATTTAAAATAATATAAATTTCTAGTAAATTAAACCACTTATTTATCAATATAATACTACAATTTATTGAATAAAAATATTTTTATACAATATTTTAGTTAATACACAAATACATTATCAGTACAACAATTCTATCAGTGATTATTAATAACTTATTTTTATTTGTTTAATAATGTTTAATATATACTGTAATTATATAATTCTATTTGTATTAAATGGTATTATATATTAATTATTTTTTATATTAATAACCAATATCAATTTAGTAGAATAAGTAAAATAATTTTTTTTTTTGAATAATTTTCATACAAAAATTAAGTTTATTTAAATTATTATGCATTTCATCTAGATAAAACTACAGCTAGAACAATTATGCCAACAATTAGTTTAATAATAATCAATATCCACCAAATATTATGGGATTTATTATAATTATTGTTTGTAGGGGTAGTAGTAGTAGTAATATTAGCTGTACTATTACTGCCAATATTACTAGCATTAATAACCCTATTATTATTATTATTACTAGAATATATCAATGAAATCCTAAACCGGCACTCGGACTGTGGACACAATACACTGGTTAAACCAATTTTATAGCCTAACAGTTTCATACATTTTGGGCACCGGTAGTATCGATAGCCGTGTGGCGGGCTTTTGATAATCTAGTTAAACAACAATAACAACAACAACAACAAAAATAATAATTTTAATGTAACAAATTTCAATCAAATAATAATCAATATATTTTTTTAATACTTACAATTTCATTGTTACAAATTAAACAATTGATTGTTGGCTTATTGTCATTACCATCAGCACCTGTAGTAATTGAATGATCGACGGATGTGCGACAAACATTGCAAACATGTTGTGTTAGTGGCGCTGATGGCGCTAATGATGTTGACATTATTTTCTAGATTTTATTAATTAATTTAAAATAAATGAATTTTAGTGAGAAAATAAAATTTTAAATAATAGTCTATATACTGTAATACAGTTAATAATAAAAATAAAATAAACTCATTTATTTAACTTGTTAATATATTTCTATTAAATATATATTTTTAAATAGTTAAATAATTATTATCACTATAGAAATTAGATGAAATTTCAATGCATATCAAGTTATATAATAGATAAATAAATAATATTTATTATTTTTTTTTGTTAATTTTATTTTTTTATGACTACAATATTATAAATACCGGTAATATTTAGTGAGCTATAAGTAATAAAATTTTTTAACATATTTATTTGGATACAAAAAAAAGATTAAGTTTTTTATTAAATCTCATGACTATTAATAATATAATAAGTTTTATAAAGTATAAACTCATATAAAATTAATATTATTAACTAAACATAACAAAAATATTTATTATAATAATTATAATATTTACAGTATTATGAAAAATTAAAAAAAAACTTATGAAATAATAATTTATAATAATGTTTAAAAAAGTTGTATATAAAAATTATTTATCAATTTGAATAATTAATATATTTTCATTTATATTAAAACAGTATTAAATTTAAATTAATTATTAGAAGTAAGAGATTAACAATTGATTTTTAATTCATTAATGTATTTACTATTATTAATAAAAAAAACAATTTTAAAATTAAAGGCAAATATGATATATAATTCAATTCAAATTGTTAAATTGTAATAATGTTTTTTTTCTGATAAATTATATTTATTAGTTTTAAAAAATAAAATATTAATTGTAATGTATTACCGCTTACACAAAAAAACATTAATATTAAAAATAATGATAAAATTATTAGTAAAATTGCTATCTTAAGAATTATTTTTATAAAATAAATAAATATATATATAAATAATTTTTATTAGCGTTAGTTTTTTTTGTATAATTAAAATGATTATATAAATAATTGAGAAAATTAATTATTTAATATAACGAATAGTTTAATAAATTATTAAAATTCTTTTATATTGACATTATTTTATAAAAAAAATAAGAAAATTGTGTTTAATAACTACAATAATTTTAATAAATAACTGATTAAATAAAATATAATAATAAATATACAGTTAAAATTGTTTATAAAAATCAATCAATTATAATAATATAAATTATATAGTATACTTGAAATAATTTAATAATAATAATACTAAAATTTTTATTAATTAATAATATAATATGAGTTTTTGTTTATTAATACAAATTAATATTATATTATTGTTGCTTAATTATTATAAGTTATTATAATTTATATACTGTACACAAAAATTATTTATATTAATATGTAGCAAATTGGGTTACTATTAGCAACAATAAAAAAAAATAAGTCGCGCTTTATTTTTAAAATATAAAGTCAATACTAATAAAAATTTTTTTTTTAATATATATGTAATATTGTATATCAGGGTTAGATCAGATATATTCCCTCGTTTTTAAGTAAATTCCAAAAGTTCCTTATGTTCCCCAATGTTTCCCAGAGGAATTCCTAGTGAAAAATTTATTTTCTTAGCTACCAATTATTATAATGTTTAAATTATATATAATAAAACTGTATTTATTAATTTGTTAAAGTTAAGGTTGTTAAAGTAAATTTATTGAATTGAAAATTAAATTATTAAAATATGTTTCAATAATTTTTTGTTGTTGTAAAATATTTTTTTAAAAGTTTTAAGTACTATTTGGTACTAATAATAAAATTTTCCATTTATAAAGATCAAAGGGAGGCATAATAATAATAAAATATTATCAATATTTTCCATTGAAAATTTTTGAATGTTTTTATTAAAAGGGAACTTTCTATAACTGGGAATAGTATTTGTGTGAACTCTAATAGTATTAAAGTTTAGCTAAACAAAGTATTATTGAATATATTTTTTTTTAAATTTTATTTTAACTTAACGTTATTTGTCTAATAGAAAATTCTAGATAAACTTGTCTATACTTTATTTTTATAAAAATAATAATGTTTTATAATTATTTTTTAATAAAAAATGTCCCTTAGCACATATCTATAATTATATATATATACATATACATGTATATAGTATTTATTATATATACTATACACAACTACTATTAATTGACATTATTTATTGATCTATATATATATATATTGTGACTTGCTCAGTTAGTAATATATATATTTTTTTTAAAAATAATATACATGCATATTTTTTAAAAATTCACCTTTCATCAAAGTTGACACTTTTACAGCACACACACACACACACTTCCCAAGTTAATTGACCAGGGAGGTGGTGGACAGTTATGGCCGAAAGTAACAGTACCGACAGTCCAGTAGTAGCAGTAGTAGACAGGGATGACCTGTTGCTACAGTTGCGCGCACACAGATACCGTCCCAATCCGGCCATCGAAGATCATGTAAGGCCACCAGTGGTGGTGTCGCCGCCCGATTCGGAACAGGTTATGGTCAGACTCAGGTCGTCTAAAAGTAGACACGCAAGTGGTGTTTCGGTTAGCTCGGCTACTGGTGCTGAAACTGTAGAGGACATACACTTTGATTGTTTAACACCGGCACCCGACGGTGGCCACACTAATGTTGACTGTGGTTATTGTCAAATGTCAGCCATTAACGGCATGCGCTGTACAACACTAGAGGAACGGGAACTGTTGATCGATGATTACAATGACCGGTATGTTAGTCGTATACCGCATGTTGTTTGCTACCGGTGCCTGGCTAATTATATGCTTAGTATAAATGAAAAAATTGTACCCTGTCCATATGGTTGTGGTTGCGAATTTAATCTAGGTTAGTTTTATTTATTTTAATTAATTAATTAATTTTTACTAATATTAATTAACTAGATTTAATTAACAATTAATTAATTAATTAATAGACAATCTGGTGGTTATGAACCGCGACTACACATTACAGTGCAATGATTTGCTGCGGTCGTGTCCGGACGGGTGCGGCCTAATGGGTAGTTCACTGGAACTGTCGGTACACATATGCTATCGTGTATTGCCGACCACCACTGGTGATGTCGGTGCTACTGCTGCCGGCGCTGGCAATAACAACCGTCCACAACAAGCACAGGTAGCTGTTCATCATATACTACAGTCGACAAAATTGCAGCAAATGATTGTCGACAACAAGCGTATGAAAGACAAGATTAATAAACTTGAATTAGAAATGGATGATAGTATCGGTAAAATGAATTCAATGGATAGGGATCTCAGGGAACAGTTAAGAAACAATGAAAAACTACGACACGAATACCAGAGTGTCTATAGAAGACATTATAAGTTAAAATTAGATTTTGCAGAATTGGAAACTGATTTTATGGCCTCACAGCTACAGCTAACTGTCCTCAAAGATCGCTATCGTATTGATGATTATAGAAAATTGCTGATTAAATATGATAATCTTAAACTGAGATACACTGAGGCTGATGGCCAGCTCAGGGAGTTGCGTGAACTGAACAAAAAGTACAAACAGGATAACCATTTGCTTAATCAGACAAATCAACGGCTGGTGACCAAACGTAAGCAATTGGAGGACAGCTTCGATAGACTACAGAAATCGATTGATAGACAACAAACAACTGGTCGGAGTTGTGGTCGACCTACCAGTGCCGGTGCCGCCAACACAACCACCACCACTGATGATAATGATCAAACTATTGCCGATTTGACCGAAAAGTTGGAATCAATGCAAAATGAATTAACAAATTATAAACGTCTTTATGGACAACAATTATTTGCCAGACAAGAGAGTCAGACAAGAGCTAATGGCTTGCAAACGGACAGACAGTTTGATGATAATGATAATAATGAAAGTCCGATAATAGAGGACAGTAATGTTAATTATGACGACAATAATAATAATAATATTAGCAATAATGACGAAAATTAAGTGTTAGAACTTTCTTTTTCTAAATATAATTATTAATAGATTTAATTAATTTTGTAATTTAAAAATTTATATTTATGCTCAATTATTTTTTATAATAATATTTATTTAATTTATATATATATACAGTATTTCAAAATGTGCCAAATACTATGACATTTGAATTATTATTTAATTTAAAAAAAATCATTTTATAAAAACATTTTGATAGTTTTGCTATTTTTGAAACATTTATATAGTTTTGACATTTTTTGAAACATTTATTAAGTTTTGTCATTTTTTTTTTTTGATACATTTATATATTATTTACAATATATAATAAAAAAAATAAAATAAAAAATAAAGTACCGGTAATATATCAGATAAGTATTAATATATACAATATTCTAATAAACTAATAAACTAATTTAAAATTTTTAAAAATAATATCATGTATATTAAATAAACTTGATTAATATTTGTTTTTAAAGTATAATAATAAATAAATAATTTTTTATATGTATAATCTTAAAATATTTATTATTAAATTTTTAATAATGCAAAATTAAAATATGTAAATCAATGACAATGGTGTGGTCCATATGATCACCATAATATTTATAAATTATAATATAACTATAATTTTTTTAAAAATAATTATTTTTATATTTAAGATAATTAAATTTATTGTAAATTGTTAATTGGATAAAATTAGATATATAATTGATAAACAAATATTAAACTTAGAATTATTTATTTTTGAAAACAAACAAATTAAATCAATAATTAATTAATTAATAAGATTAAACATATATAAACAATTAATTATTATTAAAAATTGTTACGAAACGATTTAATATAATTTTATAAATATTTTTTTTACATTTTTTATATAAAAAAAATAAATGTAATAATAATAATAATAAAAATATAAATAGTTAATTATTTTTTAGAAATTAATGCTAAAATTTATTTAATTTTTAAAAAACTATTTAACAAACTGTACATTTACACTAACAATAGAAATATTAACTTTATATAATTATTTAGGCATTAGTTTATTTTAAGTGATCCGAAAAAATCAATAGTCAAACAATAGACAGCAAAGTGGTTGGGTCTTATCCGCCTACCCCTGCCTACCCTGCCTACCCCTAACATTTTTGCCTACCCTTAACTTTTTTGCCTACCCCTGCCTACCCCTAAAATTTTTGCCTACCCTTGACTACCCCTGCCTACCCTGCCTACCCATAACATTTTTGCCTACCCTTAACTTTTTTGCCTACCCCTGCCTACCCCTAAAATTTTTGCCTACCCTTGCCTACCCCTGCCTACCCCTAATTTTTTTACCTACCTAACATTTTTGCCTACCCCTGCCTACCCCTGCCTACCCCTGCCTACCCTGCCTACCCTAACATTTTTGCCTACCCATGACAGTCATAGGCAGCTAGTCATGTATTAGACTGTAATTGGCAGCCAGTCATGTACTAGACTGTAATTGGCGGCCAGTCATGTACTAAACTGTGATTGGCGGCCAGACATGTACTAGATTGTAATTCATGTGGTATCTGTATTTTAATTAATGTATATTGTATTATAAAAGGAATTCAACTAGGTAATATATCTAATGATAAAATACAATTAGGTAGAGGTTGGATACTAGATATAATAGAAAAATACAGCGAAACTCCAGAAAAACATTATTTAATGCCTAAAGATTTTCCTAGTTTTGAATTTAATATTAATAATTATAAAATTGATTTATTAAATACTAATGAAATTATTGAAGAAATTTTTAAAAATTTGTCTTAGATATTATATAAATATAATTATTGTTTTAAAAAATATTAACCAAAATAATATAATTGAATTATAAATAATTATTATTGTATATATATATTTTTTATAATTATATTTAATTTTTTTCTATTAATTAATTTTTAATAAAGGTTAAAATACTTTGTAATTATTAAAATAATAAACAATTTTAATTATATAATTTTATATTTTAATTATTATTTATTTGTATTATATAAATTTTATTATAAACTCATTTTATTAAAAATTTTCATAAAATAAAAATATATAATAAATATATAATTAAAATATATAAAATAAGTTATAATATTATTATTATTATTAATAAGTTAAGTAAGAAATATATTATGGGTAGGCAGGGGTAGGCAAATATGTTAGGGTAGGCAGGGGTAGGCAAAAAATATTTGGGGTAAGCAGGGGTAGGCAAATATGTTAGGGTAGGCAGGGGTAGGCAAAAAATATTTGGGGTAAGCAGGGGTAGGCAAATATGTTAGGGTAGGCAGGGGTAGGCAAAAAATATTTTGGGGTAGGCAGGGTAGGCAAAAATATTTTGGGGTAGACAGGGGTAGGCAAAAATATTTGGGGTAGGCAGGGGTAGGCAAATATGTTAGGGTAGGCAAAATTGTATGGGGTAGGCAGGGTAGGCAAAAATATTTGGGGTAGGCAGGGGTAGGCAAAATTGTTTGGGGTAGGCAGGGGTATTCAAAATTGTTTGGGGTAGGCAGGGTAGGCAAAATTGTTTGGGGTAGGCAGGGTAGGCAGGGTAGGCAGGGGTAGGCGGATAAGACCCAACCCAGCAAAGTGCAGTCTATAAAGTTAACTAAATGGTCATTGAATCAGTGTAATGGGTATACATTATATTGAATTAGTATTAATATATAACAGTAAAGTATACTGGTAATCAGTATACAGTTATTGTATTAATATAATTAACTAGCAATATGCTATAACTAGCTACTTGTTAGAGACATTAGTTAACTTAAATAACAAAACATAGTCTATTAATTTGACCATGATCATTTATTTTTTCTTAAAAAAACAATATTATTTAAATTAATATAACCAACAACAACAACAATTAAAAATTGGGCAAAACAACAGTGGACTAAAATGCATTATTAATATTTATTTATTTTTAAAATAAATTATTTTAAATATTATTTTAATAAACAATTAAATTATATTAAACTTATTTAAATGTTTAAATAATTAATTATTATTATTAAAAAAAATTGTTATTTTAGTTTAGTGTATTATTTTTTTTTAAAATAAAAGTTACAAAATTATTTACTGTATATTATAATTTAATTACAAATTCATTATAAAGATTAAAAAATTAGTATTTAATTAATTTTTTTTAATAATTTAATCAAATCTTCTAATAATAATCTAGATAAATTGTTTTTCTAAAAAAATAATCAAATTTCTAATATTTATTAGTTTTATTTATTTAATAATTTTGTTGTTAATCAAATCTAAATGTATGGATATCCTGACAAACACCTGATAGTGATCGGCATTCATCGGATCAATACATTTGCTATTATCGTAACGATTGCTGCCTTGTGTTACACCAATCAGTACTGCCCTACCATTGATATAGCGATAGAGTGGACCACCAGAATCACCCTGGTTAGATTATAATTATAATAATAAATTAATCTAAATAAAATATTTATTATTATTACTACTATTATTATTACTACTATTATTATTACTACTATTATTATTACTACTATTATTATTTCTACTATTATTATTATTACTATTATTATTATTATTACTATTACTACTAATATAACGGTATATACTTAACCGAGCAAATAGCTGAACCTTTAATATGTGGATAACGTTTAACTTGCATCAGATAGCGATTATAGTTAACTTTAAGGTATACCCAACTAATTTGTAGATCAGTAACAGTATCTGAATGTTCACTATATTTACCAAAACCAGCTATCAGTGCCTGTTTGTATTGTAAGTCCATTTTGACGGCTTGGCCGCTACTACTAGTAGTTGGTGGCAAACAAACAGCATTAACCGATCTAACAGTGCCGCCATTGCCATTGGCCATTAACTTTGATCAATGCTATATCAAAATATTCCTTACGTTCCCGAGGATCGGTATATTTGGGATGTATAATAAACTGGTCAACAGTATAGACAGCGGGCAAATGGCTTAACGATTGGGCACCGGGATATACGCTCAGATAGCTTTTGTCAACCGGACCAGATGATCTAACACCGTAATTGTTGATAAATTTTTAGCATGCTAATTTTTTATTATTTTGTATTTAAAATTATATTTACTAATTTTGTTTCATAATTTAGTTTTAAAACTTATAAATAAAAATATTTTGTTTTTTTGGGGGAAAAATATTATTTTTGAATATTAAATAATTATAATTATTTTAAAAACTGTAAAAAAAATCTAATTTTAATTTTAAATATTAAATATAAATTTAGAACTTTTATAATAGCTCATGAAAAGATTTAACATAATTTTATAAATAATTTTTTCGACATATATTTTATATAAAAATAAATAAATGTAATAATAATATAAATAGTTAATTATTTATTTAGAAATTATTGCTTTAAAAATGTTTAAAAAAAACTATTTAACAAACTGTACATTTCTAATAGCAATAAAAAATTAACGATTATATTATTATTCAAGCATTAAATTTTTTTAAGTGATCCGAAAAAATCAATTGATAAATAAATTACTAACAAAAATAAATAATTGTAAGCTTTAGTAAGTTAACTTGATCAGTTTACTGCTCTTTTCAAATAGTTAACATTATAACAAGCAAGTTCAATTGATTTGATCATGATCATTTATATATATTTTTAAACAGTAAATACAGATAATATTTTTGTATAAAAATCATATTTATATATATTATATATAAACTATTTATATATATATATATATATAAACTATTTATATATATATATAAACTATTTATATATATATATAAACTATTTATATATATATATATCAATAATAACTACATTACATACGTGTATAGACAATGAGCTGCAGTTATAATCCATTTATCATTTAATATACTTCCAGTACATTCACTGTTTTTAATTATTAAAAATTAATTTTTATAAATAATTTAATAATTAAAACAATTAATAAAAAATATGTTATATTTAACAGTAATTGTTTTTATAAAATAAACATACCTAAGCTATATTGAAGAGTTCATCAATTACTTACATTGTCTTACAATATTACATATGGTATATCACATA